ATGCAAGTGAGGATTTTTTTTAGTGAAATTGACATGTGAATCCTCCTAACAATACTTAACAACCAAAATAAAAAATTCCAGGTTCGTGGGTCCTTTCTTAGCTATGTTGGGGTAATTGGTCCTAGGAATAATTACAATATAAAAGCCAGAAGCAGCGCCAGCCATGTGCAAAAAATATTGCCATCAGCAGATTCTTCTTCATTCCTAGATGGATTCTGTTCTGGCAACTAAGTTTTTATTGTTGGGTCTAATCCATTTGGTTTTCATCCATGGAAACAGGGGTTGCTTTGAAGAGGAGAAGATGGCTCTTCTAGAATTCAAGGCCTTTGTCAAATCAGATGGCTCCGATGCAAACCAACTTCTTCCTTCATGGGTTAACGACCCAGAGCATAAGAGTTGTTGTAAATGGGAGAGGGTCGATTGCGACTCCAACACAGGCCATGTGATCAAGCTCTCCCTCAGCAATACCAGGCGGTTTGATGTACCCTCATATGGCTTATATGACCCCCGAAACTGGCATTTAAACCTCTCCTTGTTTCAACCATTTAAGGAGCTAAGGAGTCTGAATTTATCCTTCAATGTAATTTCTAGGATACAGAACAAAGGTACGCTTGTTATGTAATTTTTCCCTTTAATTTTCAATAATCTAACTGTAGTAGCTACTAGCTAGATTGAGTCACTTTAAGAACTCCCCAAACAATACAAGCTCTTTAGAATTTGATTTTTGTCTCTTTTGCCAATAAGGAGAAAATGTTTACACGCAGGGTTGTCATCAGTTTTTGAAAACTTAGAAGTGCTGGATTTAAGATCCAACATCCTAAATGGATCCTCAGCAACGCAAGGTACGCGAATCAATAATTCTAAATTCTTTGACTCTACACCTTAACTTGGACTAAATGAGTTTTCCTTACTACTTCCTTCAATTTCTGTGGAAATAATACTATCCCTATATATCACATTAATTAGTCTCATCAACATCACAACATGAGTTCATACATTCACTGCCACATACAATAAAGGGAAGACAAAGTTGAAACCATTATAAACATTCCAAAAATATTACACTGTTGCATGCATGACTTTGTGGCCAGTTGTACTTAATGTACGTTTGACAAATAATAAATATTTATTCCATGCTTAATTATAAGAATTAATTTGATATTTTATAATCTAAATTGTATTAAATTGTAAAACATTGATTATTAAATAAAAAAATATGCACTCATCATTAGAATCCTTCATCATTTAATAATTAATATTTTACAGTTCAATATAATACAAACTTTAAAACATTTTTTTCTAATCATAATTATACTTGTTTTCTTGAAAATAATTGATATGGTGGAAATGAAATAACTAGTGTTTAATTTAAGGTGAAGGTTGCAATAATAACTTTTTTTTTTTTTACTCTTTCATTAAATTTTAATAAACCTAATTTTTAATATAAAGTATTTAAATTTAGTTATCTATTTTATAATTTTAAGATATTATTTAATGCGATTATTTTTATTTAATCTTCATGTTAAAAAGATAATTACAATATATTTAAAAAAATTTATTTAAGTATTACAATTAATTAAAATTAAACATAAAATTTTATCAATTAATTAGTACATCTCTATTTTATTAGACAAAACTAAAGTTTAAGTTGAACGAGGGAGTATTTATTAGGGGGGTTGCATGAATGGCTACAACTCTCTCATTCTTTGCCTTGCATGAAGAAATCAATTTGCCAATTCTCAAGACTTAAGCACCAAGCTACTGAAAAACTCAAGGTGCATCGATCGTAGCCATGATTTTGAAGTATCCAAAGACAACGGAACCATACCGCATAACACATTTAGGGGGGCCTGACAAACTTTTTTTAGAAATTGCTTATAAGCAAAACCTTTTTTATGGGACTTAGAAGCAAAGCAACGTTTAATTTCTTAGGGTTGAAAATTAAGTTTTAGAGGAAAAAATAGATTTTTAGCAAAATATATGTAAGTTTCCAAGAAAGTTCTAGGCTATTGTTTTCTTTTAAACTTGCTTGTATGCATTTTTTTTTCTTAAAATTTTTTTTTTTTTTCCAAACCTTTTTCAACTTTAGGGGTTTACCGTTTGTTTTTAACCCTTTCCAGTTAAGGTTTTTGCCAAACACTCCTTAGTAAATGGGACAGCTATGATCCTCATCTTCATTCATCCAAGACATCTTTATTCCGCCAAGATTAAAAAAATATGTAAATAAATAAAAAGGACAAATCCACATTATCATCAGGAAATTTAAAAGGCAGAAGTAGCTCATAGGGTGTTTGTAAAAACTTAGAAAAAAAAAACATTTATTTTAAACGTATTTTTTTAATAAATTTAAAATTTTATTAGTTTTTAAAATAATTTTGATGTAAATTTTAAGAAATTTTATAGGAAAAATACGTTTTTAGTAATTTCATCCCAAGTTTTCATCTAATTGAGTGGAAACCAACTTTTGTACCTTACATTCAAGCAAAACACAAAGCCCCAACAGCCATCTCAATTGGGTGCCAACTTCCCCAGCGAACTTCCCCAGTCAAACACCACAAATCCCACTCATATACAATTAATTAAAAATCCAAATCTTTAAAACAAAATTGAAAAAAAAAAAAAAAAACCTTTGAAAAGAATGAAATGGCATTGACAGAGAGTTTCATCAAGAATTCTTCGAAGACTATGGAACTAAGAGA